TTATGCTGTCTAAATTTGGGCTGTAAAATCTATTAAACTTAGATGTTACCTCCACCATCCTGCTGGTCCTGCATTCTACATGATGACGTGGGAATGCCTGCGACTGATTGAACTGCGAAGGGGTCTTGCAGCTAGATGGAAGCCCACAGGAGCAAGGGATACCACTAGACTAAATGAACATTTTAACTGTTGCAATGGGGGTGCACTAAAAGAGCAACTTTTACTGCTGTCTGAAGTTGGGCTGTAAAGGTTTATGAACCGCTAGTTCATCCAAAAGACCTATTTCTGAAGGAAATGTAACCTACAAATGCCATTACTAATCTCCTTCGGAAAATCCTAGTTGTCGGGCAGTCCTTAGCATTAGTTATTTTGTAATTTCTATCTAAAAAAAGTATGCAGGAATTCAAATCGGAACACTTGACAATACTGTATGCCAGGGTTCAAATTTTCCACTCACCCCCTCGCAATTGGTGAGTGAAAATTGCGTGGGGGCGACTGGAAATTCATCGGGGGGTGCTGCCGGCAGGACAAGGGGGGGAAACTGCGGCCGCTTCAGCAGCGGCGATCACCCGATCTGCTCTCCCCCTTCTCTTCTTCTATTTGGCCATTCTATAGCTGCAGCGGCTGAGGAGGAGAGAAGAGAAGGGAGAATGTTCAGCCGTCTGTCAGTCACCTGCACACCTGCACCTTCCTCTGCCCACGTTAGCTGCCATAGGCTGGGAGGAAGACTGCAGTCCCCACACCAGGAGAAGAAAAGGGCACCTGAATCAGGTAAGCCATGTCCATGTTCACTGTAAGTCCTGCTATTTCTGCCTTAAACCGCTGACCTCTGTACTGTGCATTATTGCTGACCTCTTACAATGTGCGTTATTGCTGACCTCTTACACTGTGCAATTATTGCTGACCTCTTACACTGTGCGTTATTGCTGACCTCTGTACTGTGCGTTATTGCTGACCTCTGTACTGTGCGTTATTGCTGACCTCTGTACTGTGCATTTTTGCTGACCTCTGCACTGTGCATTATTGCTGACCTCTGTACCGTGCGTTATTTCTGCCTTGCACCGCTAAGCTCTGCACTGTGCGTTAATGCTGAACACTGTACCGTGCGTTATTTCTGCCTTACACTGCTGACCTTTGAACTGTGTGTTATTGCTGACCTCTGTACTGTGCTTTATTACTGACCTCTGTACTGCTGACCTCTGTACTGTGCGTTACATCACTGACTTCTGTACTGTGCGTCATCCTTCTGACCTCTGTACATTTCTGAAGGGAGGCTCAACGAGGCTGCTGGAAGCTTCAACCTGTTACATGGAGGCAGCATTGATGCCCCCCCCCCAACACCCCCACCAGGAGAGAAAGAGCACCTGAATTAGATCAACTGTGCACTGTAAGTCCCTGTTTTTCTGTGTTAAGGTGCCCATACACCTGCCGATTATCGTACGATAATCGTGGGTGATCCCGCAATCGTAGATAATCGGCAGGTGTATGGGCAGCGTGCAACCGCATCTACTGTACGGTCGCACTTTCATCTTCCTAGCACGCTGGAAAACCTGCAGAAAATCGTACAATTTTGGGCAGGTTGGTGGAGTGCTCGGAAGACAAAAGCCGCACGGGCCGGTAAGCGCACACTGCCCGCTCAGCATTGCAATCATCGGCAAGCCCTCCCCTCAGCAAGATGGGCAGGTCGTACAAAATTTTAATGACCTTACAACCATCGCACAATGAAAGTTGTGCGATGGTTTTAAGGTGTATGGCCAGCTTTACACCGCTGACATCTGCACTCCGAGTTACATTACTGAACTCTGTACTGCTGACTTTTGTACTGTGCGTCACACCGTTGGCCTTTGGACTCCGCGTTGTTACTGATCTCTGTACTCTGCGTCACACCACTGACCTGGCGGAGTTAAGGCCGGGGCAGGGTAGGGGTTAGGTGGGCAACTGGTAGCGAGTAACATTTAAAGCCTGGCTAGTAGCTCAGGACTTGAAATTTTGAGCCCTGCTGTATGCTATTTACGCAACATTTTACAAATTGGTTTTAGAGGTGAAGCTTGGTAACTGATAACAGAAACTACATCCCTTCGTACATAGTGACATTGTTTGACTATGCTGGAAAAAAAATGTCATGTTCAATCGTTCACAAAATAGTGACTTTTTTTTTTACAGAGGAATTAAAAAGAGAGGAATTAAATGTATGAGGAATGTATTATGTATGAGGAATGTATGAGGAATGTATTTTAATAGGTTGGACTTGATGGACTAATGTCTTTATTCAACCTCAAATACTATGTAAGGCAAAACATCCCCCCATGGGTTAGTGTCACAATTGTTGCCTTATGGGAAGAAAAAGTACTTTTTTCTGAAGTCCAAGCAGTCAGTTACTGGATCAAAATATTACCAGACTAGCCTTAGTGTTTACAGGTCTGTATACCATTAGTTGTAATGAAACAACACAATCCTTTTTTGAAAAAAAATCTCTTATACTGATTCACAGTCTTCCTTTTTCGGATTTATCCTCTTGTCCTATATACAGTCCATAGGATAAATATTCATTTGCTCTACATTTCAACACAATGTATTCATGAGATCACCTGTAAGTTGTTTTTCTTTTAAAACTAGTTAAGTGCAACCAAAGCCAAACTTTTTTTTAGTGTTCGATAGAGTGGAGAGGAATTAGAGGCTGTCAAGTTGTTAATGCTGTCTGTGCCCCCACTAGGGAGAGTCACCCTTTCTATTTGTCCCGGTGACCATTATTAGAGAAAGTGAAAGAGAATCCCACATTTTGGATTTTCACCAGGAATAGATGGGAAATCTTCCATTGGAGACACTAGTTCTGGTGTCCCTGCTGACTACCAGGGATTTCCTTCACTTTGGAGGAATTTCCTCTCGCTTCCTATTGTGGCTATTGGACAGAAAGTAAAGGGAAATCCCCCCAATGGGGCACAGATTGCAAAAGAATTCTACTTTAAGCCTAAATTTTCTAACATTTTATTGGAAAGATGTCCCATTTATTCATTTAGTAGCCCACCTCAGGATCTTCTTTTAAATTTCTGTGTACAAAGTGGTGTACTTCATACATAAAAAAGGCGATTTTTTAAGCTTGCTCTGTTACTCTTGTAGGTTGCATTCTCAGTGTTTGTTGGAGGAGTGTTCGCATTTGCTCAGAGGTTGAGGAGGGGGGTTGGACAGTGGGATATCATGGATGTCTACTTTGATCACAGACAGCATCAAAAACTGGCTGCATTGTGTAAAGACGTTGCAAGCAAAAAAGGATGCATTCATTCTGATGACCAAGATCATGGCAAAGATCCATGATCTCACTCTACATTAAAGCGAACCTGTTTTAAAAATTAAAATCAATACCAACCTCTCATCTTGCACTAAGCAATCTCCAGTTCCTAAACTATCCTTAAGACACTTCTGTGCCTCTTGGATGCCCACTGACAGTTAGTCACAATTCTGGTACTTCTGGGTATAGAAAGGCTGTGTTGTCATATTGGAAGTATGCTGGGTAACACAGTGTTCAGATATTATTATTATTATTATTGTACAGGATTTATATAGCGCTAGCAGTTTACATAGCGCTTTACAATATAAGGAAGACATTACAATATGATTCAAGACAAGATGGTTACCATCAATATTGGATATTGTTGGTAATTGCTAAGCCCATTTTGGGGATGGTATCAGGCATCAAAGAGGCAGGAAGCCACACTAAAGGTGTTGGTGTGTGTTTTCATTTTTTTGACAGGTTAGCTTTAACACTGACATACACTTGACACGTGTGCATTGTCTGTCCCAAAATGCCCAGCGTGTATGTGGCATAATACATTGGCTTTACCAAGTATATAGCTGTGTCCTGCCTACCTTTTTTCTGTGGTATTGTCATGTATACTGTAAAGGGAATGTGACATTTATTTGGCCACTTTACTTAACATTCTATGACTTCAAATGTATTTATTTTTCAGAGCTTCTTTTTAGGTTAACCCCACAGCAGTGACTTTTCTCTCTGTTATACAGAGGAGCCTATATACTGCTATACACCTCACAACTTCACCCGGGATCAAGCCTTGTATGCCAGAGGATATTGCTGGACAGAACTTAAGGATGCTTTACCAGGGGTGAATGCCAGTCAGTGGCCTTCATTATTTGAGCACAAGTTTCTTCCATATGCTCTTCTTGCCTTTGCTGGAATTATGTATATTCCTGCTCTGGGATGGGAGTTCCTGGCTTCAACTAGGTTGACTTCAGAGCTGAACTTCCTGCTTCAAGAAATCGACAATTGCTATCATCGTGCAGCAGAGGGGCGTGCTCCCAAAATTGAAAAGCAAATTCAGTCAAAAGGTCCAGGCATTACAGAAAAAGAGAAGCGAGAAATCATAGAAAATGCAGAGAAGGAAAAAAGCCCAGAACAAAACCTATTTGAAAAATACCTGGAAAGACGAGGTCGCAGTAACTTTTTAGCCAAACTATATTTAGCAAGACATTTGCTCATCATATGTTTAAGCATCATACCCATGACTTATCTAAGCATATATTATGCAACTCAGAAGCAAAATGAGTTTACCTGTGCATTGGGAGAGCCTCATCTTAAAACCAGTAACTCACGGTTGCATATTAGGGTAAACTGCAAATTGCCGTCTGTTCAACTCCAAAGAATCATTGCTTCAGTAGATATTTCTCTACTTAGTTTTATGAATTTAATCATTCTTGTCAACCTAATCCATCTCTTCATTGTCAGAAAGTCCAACTTTATTTTTGACAAATTAAATAAAGTTGGCATAAAGACTAAGAAGCAGTGGCAGAAATCCCAGTTTTGTGACATAAATATCCTCGCCATGTTTTGCAATGAAAATCGGGATCACATCAAATCCTTAAATCGCCTAGATTTTATTACCAATGAGAGCGACTTAATGTATGACAATGTGGTCCGTCAACTACTCGCAGCATTAGCACAGTCTAATTATGATGCCACCCCCACCATGCGGGACACTGGTGTCCAGACGGTTGACCCCAGTGTTGACCCAGCAGATATTGATGTCAATGAACAGCTTGTAATCAAGCGTCCTCGGAAGAAAATGAAGTGGATTTCCAGTAGCAATCCTCTACCCCAACCCTTCAAGGAACAAATAGCCATAATGAAAATTGAAAATAGTAAACCGGAGAAGCTAAAACCAGTGAGAAGGAAAACGGCGACAGACACCTTAATAGCTCCGCTTTTGGAGGCTTCTTCGAAATCTTCACCTCATTCATCTCACAAATGTGATGTTAGTACCATGTCAAGCATTGCTGGTGAGAAAAAACATGCTCGGCACTTCTCATTAGATGTCCAACCGTATGTTCTTAGTAACAAAAAGACCAAGTCAGAGACACAGGACAGTGCTCCAATAGCCATGTCTGAAAGCCAAGAGAATGGTTTCCCAAGCCGGGAAGATAGTGTGACTGCACATGTAAAAGGTAAGAAGTTCGTAAAAGTAAATGAAGCTCTTCTCTCCAGGTTAGTCTAGCTACTGTATAGCCTGTAATAGCCCTCAGGGGCAGATGCAGCTTGTTCACAATCATGCAATCACCAAGAATATCATAAATATTCACACTTCGATGACAGTGTAATTAAATGTACTTTATCATTATTTGAAGCCAACAAACACATAGCAGGAACACTCAGGGCTGATGTATAAAAGCTTCGCCCACTGCATAGCTAGGTAAATTTTGTTTGCACAGCATTACTACCACTAGATGGAGCTGAGGAGCATAGGAAATTCCTATGCTCCTCTAACTCTATCTAGCTGCTGATGCTTTTATACATCACCCCCTTAAATACTTAAAGAGTTCACCACTAACTACATGCAATTCCTAAGGATAAGTAAGAAAAATTCTAAATAGATTTGACCTGATATCCTATGAAACACTCGATTAGATTTTACAATAGACACAGTTCTTCCAGGAACTGTGGTTTGTTTTCCACGAATAAGATTAAAATATATCTTAACCCAACAAATATTGGATATATTTCAGCTTACCAGTCCTTAAATGTGGTGGCTGTATTAGTTTTTGGTTTTTTTTCCCCTTTATTTTCACCTGGTGATCCAGCCAGTAACACACTTCCTGTCTTAGGGTGGCTACACTCACTCCTCCACTGTAACTATGGAGTAGCAAAGTAGCAACTCTTGGACAGCAACATTTTTAACCTGCAGAAAGGGTAATGTTAGACGAACAAGTAGATTTAGATGGACTTTACATAAGTAACTAACCAATTATAGCCTAACTCTAGCTAAGAGTTTTAAAGTTTTTACAGAAACTGATTTTTTCCTTGTGTCATAAAAGTTTTAGATAACTGAATAAAAGCTGACCATTGTAAGCACCCCTGTCAGTATTATTTGCTTTGTCCAAGCCCTCTAATTGCTCTTTTTATGAACAGTTTGGTCTGTCAAAGGAAGTTGAAAAATACAAGACTTACTGGCCGGATCAATAGGTGTTAAAACTATATTACAGGAGAAATGCATAAAAACAAAGACTGCTATGTTAATGTTATTGATCATCCCTCCCAACAGTCCCAGATTTAGCGAGACTGTCCTGGGATTTTAACACAATCCCGACGTCTTGCAGATCAGGGCTGTGTCCTGCAGCCGGTCAGGTGCTAGAACACTCTTTCCAGCACACAGCTTGGGGCTTATTATGTTGCATACCTCCCAACCAACCCATATGCTGTGGGTCTGTCCCAGGAATTGAACATAATGCAGGGGTCACACTGATTGAGGCAGTGTCCCTGTGCCCAGCACTCCCTGCTATATGTGTCAGTATTTTACTAATCTTTTCCCCTCCACTGATTGGTTATCTGCTTGCTTTGCTTATTCCCTGTTTGGGCAGCACTCAAAGTTACCTCTTCTGCAACTGGCCATACAACTCTCTACTGCTGAAGGGGGTAGGAAACCACCAGTCCTGTATTAGCTCCTAGTAGAGGAGGAAAGCTAGGGAGAAGGAATGAGGAGAGAGACAGTGGGCGTCAGGTATTGAGTTCACTTGAGGCACTGATTGACTGGACTTCAGCAGCACGAAATGGAGATTTGCATGGTCTGTAAGTAAGAGAAGGTTGACCTACCTCACAATGTTCAGATTGTAAACTGAACTCTAGAATCTAGAAAGCTTCCATCCTTCATTTTCAAAACTTAACAGAACAAACTGAAAAGGGAAGCTGATTGATTACTATGGACAACTGCTCTAGATTGTGTCTGCTCTGTGTCGTCATCTCCCCCTCCCACACACCAGTGTATACCTCTTTCTCCAATCAAGAGTTAAAAATCACGGCCCTGCAGCTTTTGTGAAACCCATAATAGGTTGCAAGACTCTGACAGTCACAGGCATGCCTTCCAGAGGCAGATGCCTGTGACTGTCTGGAAGATGCCTTTGTAGTTTCACCACAGCTGTAGGTTTGGAGAAATAATATTGACAGACTACATCATATATGTAATTTTCCTTTATTTTGCCCGTAGTTCCACTTTAAGTTCCACACATTATACTTACAGTTGTGCTCAAAAGTTTGCATACCCTTGGAGGATTGGTAATATATGTACCATTTTTAGAGAAAACATGAGTGTGCAGGGAAAAAACACATTTCTTTTATTTCTTATGGGATTCATATTCAGCTGTAGGTCATAACAGAATAGCACAATCATAAAACAAACCATGGCAACAAATAAAAAAATGAAATGACCCCTGTTCAAAAGTCTACATACCCTTAGTTCTTAATACAGTGTAATGCCCACTTTAGCATGACAGTGTACAGTCTTTTGTAATAGTTGTCTATGAGGCCCAGAATTCTTGGAGATGGTATAGCTGCCCGTTCGTCTTGGCAAAATACCTCTAGGTCATGCAAAGTCTTTGGTCGTTTTGCATGAACCGCATGTTTGAGATCTTCCTCAGAGTGGCTCGATGATATTAAGGTCAAGAGACTGTGATGGCCACTCCAGAACCTTCACCTTTTTCTGCTATAAACACTGGAGGGTCAACTTGGCCTTGTGATTTTTTTCTGCTCCCCATGTCTCAGTATCTGGACTGCTCAGTGCATCCACATGAGAGCTAACAAACTCATTGACTATTTCTACACAGACACTAATTGCAATTTAAAAAGCCACAGATGTGGGGAAATAAACCTTCAATTGCCATTGTGTGTCACCTTGTGTCTGTAACAAACCTTCAATTGCCTTCAAGTGTCACCTTGTGTGTCTGTAACAAGGTCAAACATTCCAGGGTTTGTAAACTTTTGATCAGGGCCATTTGGGTGATTTCTGTTATCATTATGATTTTAAAAAGAGCCAAACAACTGTGTGATAATAAAAGGCTTCATATGATCACTATCCTTAAATAAAAGACAGTTCTTGGCCATCATCAGTCAAATTTTCAATATCAATGCCAAAATGTTATGATTTCTGCCAGGGTATGCAAACGTTTGAGCACAATTGTATCTCCAGGTATGATTCTGGCAGTGTAGCTCAATTTTCATTAATGTGTTAGTAGTCTTTATAGAAAAAAATAACTTGTCATCACATAAAGCTGTTATTTTTCTACCTGCCACAAGTGATTGCTTAGCACATGTTAAACATAGCATAACATTTATTTACTTTTCTCAGGAGTCAGTGCAGCACTGGATATGGGTTTGTATTTCATGTCAAATATAACAGCACAGTTTGCTATGTAGGATAATGCCTTGACTGTTACACAAGAAAGTCAAATGGCTGTTTGCTGATAAAGTTTTTATTATTCAACATTCTAAATATCAAATATTTAATAAGAATTCTTCTAATTTGCAAACAGATGGGGTTCCCAATGGGGCTGCACTTGCCCTTTTTTCCAGTGCAGCCACAATGCAAGACAAGGCAATTTGCCTTGTTCTAGATGGGCAATGTGGTAGTGTGTGCTGAAAAAGAGTACAGCATACAGTACTTTTTTTCAGCGCAGTGCTGTGCAATGCAGTACAACAACCATGCAGTGCCCATAGAACTCAAGATATTTCAATACATTTCTAACAAAAAACAGGGAAAGAGTTCAATGCATCGCGATCAAGAACATCTGCACTGCAAGTACTTGCAGCGTTGTATTGACTGCCCATACAGAATGTGTAAAATAGCATATGTTTATATATACATGATAAAGTGCCCTGCATATAGCCACTATTTGTACAGTAAACAGATGTGAGGAAAAAGTAGGACCTAGTCTTATGCAATTAAATAACATTATAAGTACAGTTCACCACATATTTGAAAACGAATTCTTGAGATGCATAGAGGTAGCAAAGCCTACCTGTAGAGTACTGTTTTTCATGTAGACTTTGCTATAATGACCCAGTCCATGCGTCTCGGCTTTTTTCTGGTGATCTGGTGATCCTGGAATAAACCTGCTGCTGATGTTTCAACAACCTCTTTGCAGCTTTTAACATAGAGAAAGCCTGATTAAGAAAAGCCAGTACTATATACTTCCTTAGCCGCCAATCATATGTAGACCTGCCTCAGAAGTTTGAGCATGATTAGTGGTACAGGAGACACTACAAGCGGAAGCTGCACAGCACAGGTTTCATGGAGTTCACTTCTTTAGAGCAATGTGTGCTTTTTCTGTGGGGTTATGTAGATTGCATAAGACTAGGTCCTACTTTTTCCTCACATCTGTTTACTGTACAAATAGTGGCTATATGCAGGGCACTTTATCATGTATTCATAAATAATGTTACCATTATAACATAATTTACACCCTGAGCATACCCATATGCTATTTTACACATTCTGTATGGGCAGTCAATACAACGCTGCAAGTACTTGCAGTGCAGATGTTCTTGATCGCGATGCATTGAACTCTTTCCCTGTTTTTTGTTAGAAATGTATTGAAATATCTTGAGTTCTATGGGCACTGCATGGTTGTTGTACTGCATTGCACAGCACTGCGCTGAAAAAAAGTACTGTATGCTGTACTCTTTTTCAGCACACACTACCACATTGCCCATCTAGAACAAGGCAAATTGCCTTGTCTTGCATTGTGGGGAAAAAAACGCCACCAGCACACTGCAGGAATGTGTCCAAAGGCATGTCTTCTTTATTGATGCATATTGTCACATATAAAGTGCAATGTTTTGGGGCCATGACATATATATATAACCATACTAAGCCTGATAAAGGGGACCCTGCGTGACCCCAAAATGTTGCACAAAGACATGCTTTTGGACACATTTCTGAGGTGTGCTGGTGGCGTTTTGTTTCCTTTCTGATCCATGCTGCGCATCCGTGATCACTTCAGCACCCAACCTCCCCGGAGGGTTATCCGGTAAGGAGTGCAGCAGGACATCTTTTTTTATGTAGAACTCAGATTTCTCAAGGTAAACTGAGTGAACTTTCAGTTTGTGCATTCAATCTTTCTGTATATTTTTGTATATTTGCTAGATGCTAAGACTTTCCTTCTTCTTTAACAGATACATCAAAATCTGCAAAAATAACTGAGAAAGAAAATCAGCCATTATCTGAAAGTTGTGGTAATGTCTCTGTCACTGCGGCATTTCTCACTTGCGGAAGTCACATGGTGAGTGCTGCAGTCTCTTCATCAAGTGTTACCCTTAGTCAGGTTAAGCCTGAGCCCATGACGATCTTCAACCGTAATCCTACTCATCCTTTGCTCCATATTAACACTCTATATGAGGACATGGATGAACGTATCACCACTACTTCCTCCCCTGATCCAGCAGACATCATTTCAGTTATACCACCAAAGCAAGTTATGTTGGCCCCTTTTGAAGAACCCAGGGCAATAATAAATTGTGTGGACTACTAGACTTGAGAGCTGCATCAAACCACCATGCAAAGTCACTGCATGAGCATGGAAAAATGTATTCTAAATATGCAAGCAGCAGCTTCCATACAGTCTGCAGCGTGAAGCACAAGTTACATTAAATCTATTAGATAAAGCAGCATGTCACTTGGGCAGTATGCATACACAATGCTATGTAACACTATATTCCTACCTGGCAGGATATCCATCTTTGACAGTCCTAAGTGATTAATTTCATGACAGTACTTAGACAACTGTTATAGAGCTGAAAACACTGAAAAATATATGGGTACAGTATTCATTCTATTACAGAGTACAAAAGATTACAGTTTCATTGTGGTGGGTTCTTGAAATTATTAAACATTTGAGCTAGTTTGATGGGCCAAATTCCTAATTTAATTAAGGGTAAGTACAATTAAACAATATGTGGGGATTAAAAATAAGCATACTATTGATAATATCAATATAAAGGGAACATATAATTTTAGTAGTAGAATATATTTTTCACTTTATTTTCGTACAAAAATGAATGCATATTGACATAGTTATATAATACAGAGGTTGACCTTCTCAGCTATGATCTAGCCATTCAGATCCAGTAGTAGGAATGTTTTAACTTAACAATTATACTATTGCCACATCCCTTGATAGTAAATTCCAACTCAGAAGCAAAGAAAAGCTTCTCTGAGATGGTGATGATTCCTTTTTTTCTCCCATTAAAACGGAATGTGTTTTTGACACTGGTATTGTCTTAACTAGGAAATCAGTGTGAATCAAAATGGGTACAATGCTTTTGTTTTTTTTTTAAAAGACAACCTATTTGTGTAGCCTTGAGCAAATCATAATTTAATTAGTGTTGTTAATTATTAATATTCCACTAAACACTGTTCCAAAACTGTGCATATCAGCCTTTCTCAACTAGAATTCCTCCAGAGTTTTCTAAGGATTCCTAGAACAGCAGCAGATTGATCTCCCTCCTGATAGTTTCTGTATAATTTTGAAACCAGTGGCTAGCAGTCTGGGACCAGTGAAACCTTTCATCTCTCAGGGAAGTAACCACTGACAATAACTTTTCCACTGAATACCAATATAAAGGGACATATCTTTACTGACCAGCAATATAAAGGACAACTACGTTTACCACCAATATCAGGGGCACCTCTCACACTGACCTCCAATATTGTGGAGCACATTATCACTAATCACCAAAGTAAGGGGTCACTTTTCTACAGAGAGCATTTCATTACTGACCACCAATGTAAGGGGCAACTAACCCTTACCACTATTGTAAGCGGGCATTTGAGCACTGACCACCAGGGAAGAGGTCATTTTTGCACTGACAGCTAATGTGAAGGGACACTATTATTTTCACTGTCTCAGTTTCTTTTCTGGCCAGTGTTATTATGTTTTTCATGATTATTACTGAAATTAATCTAATAAGTAATACGGGCAAGAAGACATTAAAACATGACCTGCACTAGTCACATACAGTTGACTTTATTTCTTATTTTGGCTACAGCTTTCTGTACAATGAGCTTTAGATATAATAATGTTAGCAGTGGTTTCCTGAGACCTGAAAATGATTTCAAGGACTTCTGTGTGGCAAAAGGTTGAGAAAGGTTGGTCTAGACCACTACGTGATACTAGAACATTGGCTAAAGTAGTCTGCAAATCTAAAACTATCTTACCAAAATACTAGCATGGGGATAATTAAAATGAAACTAAACTCAGGAGTTAAATCTTAAAAATGTATTCAAGTACCCTAACTATATGTATCTTATTTGTGTATCACTCAGCTGTAGAGCCTCAAATCATCTCTGGATTCATGCTGACACTGTCCTTTCTTCTACGTTTGTTCCTCATGGTCCTTGCGTGTGTTGTAAAGTGGCACTTGCTCCCGTGATGGACTACAAGCTCACGTTTAGTTTGCTAATTTGTATTGTGATTGTAGTCTATCACAGGAACGAGCTTGGAGAGGTGGTTACTTTACAACACACACAGGGACCATGGGGAACAAACGTAGCCACCCTCCAGAAGGAAGGACAGTGTCAGCACCAATTCAGAGATGATTTGTGGAACTACAGCTGAGTGATACACAAATAAGATACGTCACTTTTAATAATATCACTTGGAATCTTTAGTTCAGGGAACTATCGGACCCATGTGTTACAACACATGCAAAATTAATGGATTCATTTTTATTTTTTATAGGATCTATTCCCAGTGTTGTTCTGCACTGGCAAAAAGTCAGGTGAAGCATAGTAGGGTACATGTCAAAACACATGGCAATGTAAGTTGCCTTTTGCATTATAGTGTGGGCAAGCCCAAAGGAAGATCACGCACTGCGGATAGCAGTAGACCTTTTTGGTTTTGCAAGTGCACTCCAAGGGAGTTTGAATTTTCTTTTTTTAGAAGAAACTCTAGCACAACAAAGTTATTACTAAGGAGTGTGTAGATCTATGTGCAAAACAATTAAAATACTTTTCTTCCATCATACGTTGTACTATGAGAGCATCAAAGAAAGTGGATGAAGGAGACAGTACTCGCTGTCATGGTATCTCTCACTTCTATTATGTGATGGTCTACTAGGTTTCTTATATATTTCTTACTACTGACCCCACACAAGTTTATGGGCATAGGCAAATAACAAAATGACATTGATAACTCATAAAACAGTAGTATAAACTCCAAATAGTCGAGCAAAAAGTAAAAAGAAAACACATGATTGCATTAATGATAGACATAAATTGTAAAACAACAATTTTAACATCCATTTAAAAAAAACACCTACACTTGGTGCTGTTAATAATGGTTTATTAAACACAGGGTGATGGTAAAAGCCTGGATACAAATTAGAAGCTTACCTTTGGAGTTCAATTACTTCGTAATCCAGTGCTATGTGTCCACTATTTCCTGCTACTTGCTGATTATGTTACATCACAGGAAAGTACTCGCCATTGGGGAACTTCTTGGCATTATATCAGCACAAGTGAGCTTCAGGTGTTATACCATTTTATATTTACACTACACCCATCATCACTCACAAACTTTAGAATTTTGCAATTTTATTATTATTCTCTTTTGGTAAAGTTCTCCACTTTCTGCACAAATTGCCATTGCATAATCGCATGACACATAAGCCTAACCCAACCTCTTACCAAGAAAACAAAATATTTTAATAATTATGTAATTGTATAGGAAACAATATTTTTAGCAGGCCATGTGTATTTTGTCCCATAAGATACAACATAGGCAATATTATTTTGTGTAAGGCTGATCTTAATTTCATCGCTACAATATGCCAAGAATTTCTGTGCAATATTCACAGGGCAAGTTTATGAAAATGGGAACAAAGGATAAAAGGGGCAGTTCGCTCATAGTAACTCTTCAGATACGTGATTGAGATTGGTTGCTATAGATAACACCTGCTGGTCTTTGCATCTCTCTTCAGGAATCAGCCCTGTTTTTTATTTGCAGGAACAAGATATTCTGAGACTTTTCTGTTTTATGTGGACCAGTCTTAAAACACATTTGCCACAATAGAAGAACAAATATAGAGTTTATTTTTGTATTCAATTTTATAATGACAATGGGGATTTTCAGTTAGAAAAAGTAAAAAAAACACGTTATTTTCAAAAGCTCAACTATTAACCATATTTTCTTTGTCACTGTTGTTCCAACACTAAAAACCACAGTATCTAGGACAGTACTACATCAAGGCAGTAAATGCTCAAATGCAAATTATGCTATTCCAACAGTTATTTATTAATCACCAACCCTGTCAGTTTGGATAGAACCTTCCTGGTGTTTACTGACAATTGTCTGCTAGTAGGTGCTACCGTTATTTGACAACTTATTAGCTATATAATTAGTGCATTGAGATACCCTTAGTTTAGCGCTATGAAAAATGTGTTATGTTGCATAAGCAATATAAAATGACATTCCAGATTAATTTCTCAAGTGGTTAAGAGTAACAAATCTAGATAAACTCACATTATTAATATTCCTATTATTATTAATATAACTTGATGTTCAGTGACACTGTAATGCTGAATAAAATGCATTCCACCAGCTATCAATAAACGTTTTTTTGCATACTTTATGTGTCTGTGTGACTTTTTATTGTTACATTAATTTAAAGATGTTCAATCCTCTCACTGGACTTTCAAAAACAATGACTTTTGATGTCAAAATCAAAAACTTAAATAATTTAAAACGTAAAGTTTATCTCGACCCCAAAACAAAAATGGCATATATTGCAGCCAACCAGTCCTTAGATGTGGCTGCATTAGTTAGTAAGAGAAAGCTGGTAACATTATTTGAGATTTCAGTTTGGTCCACAGGACAATACAAGATTACTGATATGATCAACAGGGATTTTCCTGTACTTGCAGAATATGTATTTAGCCTAAAAATTGAAACTAATGCTGCCACTACATCTAATGTTCGTTCTTGGATTTAGATATACAGTACTTTAAGGCTGGTAGGAACTAAACTCTTTAGCACCCTAAGTTCTTAGAACACATATTCTATACAGTTAAATAAATGTAAAACTACATGCGAGAAAATATTTATACTATTATAGTCTTTTGCATTGTTTACATCTATGTATTTTCATCCAGCAAGTTTTGAAAATTTCTGAAAGCAGCAATTTTGCAGCAGTTTCACATATTTGCAACTGCCTAGATATCTAAAACTGCCTGAAAAATACACAATGCCCATGTATTAGTTATACAGGAGTGGGTCACATGATCCTTCATACTTGGAAGCACCAGGCAGTGGGGAAGCTAGACATTCTGTCACCCGGGGCAAAAGCTCAGAGTTTCAACCACCCCCCCCGGAAGAAGTTCTCCATCTACACACGCCCCCC